AAATAACCCAGGGGAAGTAGGTAAAGGTAGAGATGAAGTAAGATTGGCCATGATTTTATAGTTACATAACTAGATAACAGAGACACGTGGCTTCACCACTGTAACATCTCTACTTCTGTATTTATTTGAAATTTTTTTTAGTCAAAAATATTTTTTGAAAGTAACAAAAGTAAATAAAAAAGAGATATAACTTGAGGTGGTAAACACACAATATACCATATAGATGATGTATTATAAAATTGTCACCTTAAACCTATATGATTTTATTAACCAATGTAAACAAATAAATTCAATTAAAAAAATATATGCCCAGCTGGTGTTGCTCAGTGGTTGAGAGTCCACCCAGGAACCAGGAGGTCACTGTTTGACTCCCAATCAGGCTCCATGACCCAGGTTTCAGGCTCCATCCCCAGACAGTGGCATGCAGGAGGCAGCCAATCAATAATTCTCTCTCATCATTGATGTTTCTCTCTTTCCTTCTCCCTTCCTCTTTCTGAAATCAATAAAAAACATATTAAAGAAAAAAGAAATATAATACTCTACATACGCATGCAAGGCATTAGTAAAATAGAGATTGATAATAAAAGAAAATAAAGCATAGTGTTTTCAGAATGAAAGGAAGGGGACATTTATTTGAGAAGTATTAAATTGATTTCTGTGAGGTCTGTTGTTATATCCCAAGAAAACAGAAACACCAATCAGAAAGGATATATGCACCCCTATGTTCATAGTAGCACAATTCACCATAGCTAAGATTTGGAAACTGCCTAAGTGCCCATCAACAGATGAATGGATTAGAAAACTGTGGTACATCTACACAATGGAATGCTATGCTGCTGTAAAAAAGAAGGAATTCTTACCATTTGCAACAGCATGTATGGAACTGGAGAACATTATGCTAAGTGAAATAAGCTAGTCAATGAAAGAAAAATACCACATGATCTCACTCATTTATGGATAATTAAGACCATTATAAACTTATGAACAAAAATAGATACAGAGGCAGAGCAACACCGAACAGACTGTCAAACTACAGCAGGAAGGCCAGGGAGGGTTGCGGGGGTGGGTAAGAGATCAACAGAAGGACTTGTATGCATGCATATAAGCATAACCAATGCACACAAGACACTGGGGGGTATGGGAGGCTAGGGGAAGGTCAAGGGGAGAAAAAATAAAGAAGACATATATAATACTCTTTGTAATACTTTAAGCAATAAAACAATTAAAAAAAAAGAAAAAAATTGATTAATATAGCTTTGTGTCGAGTGTGTTTCCCTCTACGTCCCGCGTGGTTTAGGGTTCAGGATCTGAAAGAGGAGCCGCACACAAATGAAAGAGAAATGACATGAGATAACTTGGAAATATTGGGGGACCAGGCGGGCACATCCAGAAGGACTTCCACTGATGCTCAGCCCACTCCAAACTTTTCTTGATCTGGAGTAGCCCTTAGTTAAGGAGATTTCAATGACACACAGATTAGCTCATCAGCAGACAATTTCCAGAAATAGGCAGAATATCTAATCAACAATAATCAACAAGGATTTACATAAGTATCTAAGGAATTAAATGAACTAAGGTGAGGATGATGTGTCAGCTACCATTATCTAGATGAACTGGGTGGTGCACAGCCCTGACCTTTGCTAGGTTACTAGCTTTTGGGGGTCTCTACTCTTCTCTGCCAGTGGAGACGATAGATAGTCTCCGACATCTCCCCCTTATTTTTCCCTTAAAAAAATCTTGTATCTGTAGACCAGAAATATAAAAACAAGTCCCAATTTCAATGTCCAACAGTTCTGAGTCCAAGTTTCAATGTCCGACAGTTCATGTGTACATGCCAGCAATGATATGCTGGTTCTGGATGGTGGACAAATGGTGGCAATTCAGGTCCAACCCTCTCTGGTTTGGTCCTGGGTAACCTGCAACGACACACAGCTGCTGACTGCTAGCATGGCAAGGCGCCTTCACCATCTCCATCTCTGAACTGTCTCTCCTGTCTTTGTGGCTAGAGCAATCTGGTCAGTTTCTCTCTGGGATCTGTTGTTGCAGGATTCCATATCGTCTTGGAGCTGTTTTCAGAAAATATACAAACATATTCTTGACCAAAGGTTAATATGCCCAAATAATTTTCCTTTGGCTTATTTTGACATCATGTGTGTTTTCCTGGGTATCTCGCTGTTAGCATTATAAATGAAAAATTTTATCTAAATGTAATTTAGTTACAGGATCTATTTCCTTACATGGCATTTTTCTACTATATTTTCCCACTATTCCCCCTTTTTTGATTTAATTATTAGGAGACTTTTTGGAAAATTTATAATGCAGTCTAGGTAACTTTAAATGTTAATTTTTTGCACAAAAATATGACTGCTTTAGGTTCATTGCATGTTAAGCAATTTTACCACGAAATGAAAATTTTGGTTAATACTTCTTAAATAATTACTTATTTCAAATTGAAAACTTGACAATTATTTTACTGTCAAATTTAATATTCTAACAACAATCTTAATTTACACTGTAAATATTAGTGGAAAGAGTTATTTTGCATCCTTGAGAAGGCCCTGAGCATTCCTGTTGTTAGGCTAGATTTATATATAGGGTAGCTGCTGTTAGCCAACTCTCCATTATCTGGGTACTGATGTCAGCTGGACCAAGTCTCTTGTTATCTGGGTCCCAATCTGGGCTGGGCATGGGAAGCGAGAAGCAGCCATGGGGGAAGGAGACCTCCCTCAGAAGGGGCGAGTGTTCAAGCCCCTGCACAATTGGGGGGGTGAGGATCTGTGCCCCACCTTTGTTGAACCCCAAATTCTCTTCTACTGGCCCCTCTGCAACTGTGCCTGTCTTAGGTCGTTCCTCCCTGAGGAATCTTACCCGTCATTGGCTAACCAGCCATCCTCCGGGGCCAAGCAGGGTGATGTGAGGTTCAGTTCTGTCTCCTTGTTAGCCTATGCCCCTGTGGCCTCCACGCCCAGCAACTGCCTTTGGATCGCCTCGCCTACTGGTGGGGCCCCGGCATTGATCATGGGGAACTCAGGTTTCTTCTCCAGAGAGGGCCCAGCTTATGCCATTGGGCAAGAGACAGATCCATGGTACCAGCCACCATGACCTCAGCATGAACAGAGAACTCAGGCAACAGCTATAGGCAATTGGATGGTGAGAAGGGAAAATCCTCTTTGCAAAAAGGTCAAGAGAGGTCAATACAGAATGCTTAAGTGCCTTCCCAGGGGGCCTTCCACACAGTGGAAGGGATTAAATTCTTTCATGTCCTTATTCAATTGCTTCCAAACATTCAAAAAATTAGTAAGTTTGTTTGGGATAAATGCACAATATGCTGTTGTAAAATATCAAAAATTAATGAAACTTGTAGAATAATACCATGTAAGAATATTCTTTGCTCTAGGTCATGACAATTCAATTTTAAACTGGCTGTCTCAAGGTTTGGAATGAGGAACCTAGTTTGCAAAAAAAAAAAAAAAAGGCAATTTACAGAATCAGAGACAGCATGCTATCTAAATTACAGTTTTGGGTAAACACATTATCTAGAGTCCTTGGGTGACCCAGGTTAAATTTAGGCACTTTATCTAAATTACAGTTTTGGGTCTAGAACCCTTGGGTGACCTGGGTTAAACTTAGGCACTTTATGTAAATTACAGTTTTGGGTCTCCAGAACACTGAGTTAATAGGGACATGTTAACTGGAGCTCTCTGACCTTGGGATAGCTGTGTTGTCCTTCCCAGGTAAAGGAAAACTGTGCCTTCTAAGACCAGTATGAATTTACAGTTTTTACCTGAAATAATTGTTACCATACTTCACTTTAACATGCCCCAAGTAGCCTCTGGGCTGTTGGTTATCCAGCTTGTACTCCTCCTGCTCCTCATCTTCAGTGGACTGCTTGGAGTCGCTGCTCTCTGTGGCTGAGATAGTTGAATATCTGCAGCTGCATGGTGTGGCTCCAGGCGCAAGGTCCTCAATCTGGCTAGATTCTCTCTTGGATCCCTGATGCAGTTTAATATTTCTAGCAGGAATCCATATGGGTTTGGAAAAATTCTCTGGGAATATACAAGCGTACCCTCTGCCAAAGGTTAATAATGGGTCAGGTCCCTTCCATAAACCAGATTCTGGAACCTTCCATTTAACTAGACCATTTTCTTTTGTTTTATTCTGACACCAATGTAGCT